TATATCGGACATCAGCAGCCAGAGGAACTTGGGTGTTAGGTAGGGAACAATCGTTCAGGCTTGTGATAGTGCCAGCCCGTAACAAATAATACAAACTCTGCACGGATTATTTGAATTTCGTCGCACTTCTAGCCAATGTTAGCACTTAAACTGTTGACGCAGCAACATCGACCGAAAGCCCACCTTGCGGTTCGTCGTAAACCAGCAGCTGCAGAGGATGATATGAACATCAACCAAGGATCACCCTCGATTTTGACGAGCACACGAACGCATGTTTCACATGCCGTTAGAGTATTGTAAACCCTGATTACCAAAGCGTCGCTAACGAACAGTTTTCTGGTCCGTGATAAGCTTTCAGTAGCAGTAGCCTTCAGGAGTGTACAATGCACCCTGTTTTATTATCCAGTGTTCTTCACAATGACTCTGAGGCTTGGTTGTATAAATCATTTTTTGCGTTCACTGTCTTTCAGTTTTAAAATAAATTACTGCTGTCCGTTTATCACTGTCATGGTTTTTTATCATAGTCGTGTTTCTCAATCCACTTCACAACAAAGATATCATCTAGTCTGTTGTGAATTTGTCTGTTAAAAGTGAAGTGTTGTTTTTTTCTAGTTATAAAGATTATAGAACATTTTTAGTTGCCAATGCGCCGGAACGTCACTATCAGGAAAATTTTTTCTCCTTTGCAATAGGTCGTCATGTTAATATAAAAGATCTCTTGTAAGTGCGCGCGGGGTGACTAGAATCTTTGGTTGAATGCGTCTTGCTTTTAGCTACCCAGAAAATATGCTTCCGCCACGATTGGAGGTACAGCTGCGTATTTGCCAGTACGATGAATTGCGTGAGCAACTGGATGATTTTCCAATGAACATGGTGATCAGGTTGAACGATAATCTGGTCACATTGCCGGTGAGAGCGGTCTTGTGCTCACGAGGTTGATCACCACATTCAAAATGTTTAGCAAGCGGTTTCCGTTCGTAAAGACGAGACTCCCAAACGCCCGGGAAGACCCATCGATGTTACTCGTCTTTGCCGGGCTCACTGCAATAATCAACGCCTGTACGTTCAATGGGAGGTCGAAGCAGGGAAAGTATATTACAAGATGCATGCTGTCCAACGATGAACTACTGCTAATGAAATGTTTTCAAGAATTGGGTAATCACTGTGAATCTTGTATGTCGGCAGCCGGTGTCTTCGTTACTTACAAGGCTGCTCGCTCGCCCAACTGTTCCGCGGTCAAAGACCGAACAAAATAGTAAGTGTTCGATTGCTGCTTATGCCGCCCACTACCCTACAACATTTTCTGGTTTTAGTTTTGGAGTCGTTTGCAGATAATTCAACCGATAGTGATATTTGCGCTACAACCATACTAGTGTCGACTGACTGCCCGGTAGGACTTAGAAGTTCTCATGATTGCCCATGTTTGCTATGTTTTATGTCTTCTGAGCGAATGCTTTTATTTCGTGACCAGTCGATGGTCGTCTCAGTTGTCTAGTCACAGACATTGCGAAATACTTCTTCTTTTGGTCCTGCATGCCTTAGAATTACTGCAGTTTTTCTGTTCAGAGTTCCATTCCCTGGTAGATAGATTTCATGCGTAACCCTAAGATGAGAAACGGAATTACTCTATAGTTTTGAATATTTATCGTCGTTTATTTAGTAAGACAGCAAAGTCATGGATAGCTTTAAAGGACGTTTACTTTTTAGTCGTACTATACAATCTCTGGACTTAACAATGTTGTTATCTTCCTAGTTTGAGGGCAATCACTGTCACAGTAATATTCCACAAAATGGTACAAAGCAAGTTTCTTAAATTACTATGGGTAGTTTGAAATTGAAAGTCAGCTGCTGAAAATTTTTATCATACCTGATTTATGCTCAGTGTTGCAACATAAAAGATAACGAAAGCCATTTCTTTAATATTAAGGTTTATTACGTTGTCAGAATTGTGTAAAAATGGAATATTACTGTTTGTCTTGTGCATTTTGGCGAGAGGATGCTCTACAAGTACGGAATCATTCTTCTCGTCCGTGTTGCTAGAATTTGTAGCAGGAATATTTACCTTACATTTAGTAATCTCTGTATTGAATTTAGAGCAATAACTAAAGAGACGGTTTGAAGTTTTAAGATTAGCGCATTAATTTGTGCTGAAGAAAAAATATTGATAGTACTTTACTCTATCATTTTATCTATTATCATTAAGCGCCTGTTTGTCTTTTCGAATTGAACTTTCGAGCAGCCTTGGCACGGTATATTATGTACCATCCCGTTCCTTGAATCAGGTAGTGCTGTTTTCCTTTCTAGCATTCAATATTATATAGACGAATTGAGAAATAGAGATGTGAATCTGGTAAGTGGTAACAGAATTCTCACTGAATCTCTTCGCAGCGGCTTTGTAGTCACTGTTCATCCGGCTAAATTGATCGAACGTTATAAATACAAACAGAAAGCAGTAGAAGTGTTTTTCCTTGTTGATGAATGCATCATCTTTGCCAGGTGGAGCTGCAGTAAACGATCCCGCAGTTGCAAGAAGAATCTCACGATCAGATCAGAGGCCACTCTCTCCTGATCGAAATGGATGCCGAACGGACACTGCCCCAAAGGCTATGTCAACACGAATGGATTAGAACTCACATGGGTCACAATCTATGCATATCATGGCCATCAGGCAGACCGTCGCACAAACTCGACAGACGTTGAAATCAGGAGAAAGCGGAAGGCAGCATGAGCCGTCTTTAGGCATATTAATGCATAATTATTTGATTATTACTGCTCATGTAAACGAAGAAGGAACATTTTGATTCTACTATCCGGTCCGCCATTGCTACAGCGAAAGCCCGTGGAAACCAGCTGGTGGTCACGCAACGAGCGATGGTGCAGAGAATGTTCAGGGTCTCCTCCAAATTCATCTTCGGAGAGCCTTAAGTTCTATAGTACACTGGATTAACAGGTGTTAATCGGTCCATCAGGCACCGCACTAAGCTAGGACGGGCCTTCAGTGTGGCTCACCTGTCGTCGAGAATTACAACCTGACTGCCCAGTGTTGCAATCCTCCCCTCGCACAGTTGTTCAAGAATACTGCTGAAACTACCTGAGAAATTATTTGTCCAGCGAATTTGTATGAAACTTATGCATTTCACATTCCTCTGTCAGTTCGTGGTTAATCAACTGCATGAGGAATGAAAGATTTTCGATTACCGTTGGACAGCTTATTGCGATAGTTGGCTAAGATTGCTCGATCGATTGAGAGAGCGACACTGATAGTGAGAAAATCTTTTGTTCCATTTCCTGCTGGTCACTTTGTTTTCGAGTATCACTGTATGAGAGATGGCATGAGACATGGTTTCGACCATGCAAATATAAATATTGCCTTCGTAATCAATCCAATTTTGATTGATGGCATCGAAAGGAGGCCAGGGTTACAACAAGCGCACTAAAAATTATGGAGTGACGTACCTTTTATTATGTAACTGTCCTTTTCTTTCTGGGCTTGATTTTTGACACAGCTGTGATTTTTAATACACTGAAAAGTATTTGAGATGTTTATTTTTTTTCCTTTGAGCGTTTTCGGTTTTTGGATCTTACCAATATATTTTAGAATATGACAAGAACTTTTCAAGTGCATGACTTAATGGTGTTGCGTTAAGTGTTTTATTGTTTGTGTTTTTCTCTACATTTCTCGATTTGGCCCCCTTAACATTATCTGATTCTTTCCTTCGTTAGCTCGTGAATTGTTATTTTGTGTTAAGAGAGGACATTCTGATTTTGTAATGTTGTTTGTGGTAATCGATACCGATGTTGGCTCAAAATCTTTCCGTTTAGGCCTGTAGTCAGAGTACATTAACCTAAACAACTTTGCTTTTAAGATATTAAGCGGTTTTATCAACACAGTATGTTCGTGGTTTTCTTCGTCGCATCCTTTGGGGATCAGCTACTTCTGTAGAGTCTTCAAGGCTAAAATAATACACCTGAGGGTACTTCGTTTTAGCAGGTGATTCTTTAATTTGGTCACTGTTTTTGTTGCGCAGCGTGGGCGCCTAAGTTGGTTGGATTTATGGAATGTTCAATCTGGCATATGAAATTTATGATTTGTGGCATCCATTTCCTCGCAGCCGTTACGATATTTTATTTTCTTATTTGTGGTTTGGCTTGTAAGCATGATAGGCATTGATAGATATTGCATCATGTTCGTTGTATTAAAATGGACAGCTATGCTGGCCAGTTGTTATAAGTGCTTTTGTTCAGCTCAGCCGACGACGACTAGAATATCCGTGCCGTTCATCAGTTTGCAAACATCTGCAATGCTTCGATGCCAAAGTGTTTCTTGAAATGAACGAAAAGAGAGCCAGTTGGATCTGTCCAGTTTGTTACCATCCAGCTTTGTATAAAGACCTCATAATTGACGAGTTAGTCGACCGTCATCTCTATGTCCACTGATCTTCTCTCATTTGTTTATTATAGGTATTTTATCAATGTAATAAAGCAGCTGCCTCCAGGATGTAGTGAAATAGAGATTAACGATGATGGAAGTTGGGTGCCGGTTATCAAAAAGGAAACAAAAAAAGATGGTGAAGCCGAGCCTTCTGATACTCCGGTCATGAATTGTTTAGTTGCGCCAAATGAACCGGATTCTCCAGACAGTGGTAATTATCGACTACTTTTGTATGTTTCAAATTTTGGTTCTTACTTGCCGTTCGCGAGGCGCTTAGCTAAGCTTATATTACTCTGCTTCGTTACAGTTGGCAACAAATGGAAACTGCACCATGCAGTCCAATTCAGTACCAGTTCGGTTGTTCAGAGAATTGGCGGCAATTGTCATGGATCTTGGCAGTTTTTTGTCCTCTCTGTTTCGTATTTATATCTGTTCGTTGTAATCTACGTTTTCTTCTTTTTTTAAACCGGATATGCATCCTCAAATGGTGTTTTAACCAGAAGATTGCCGCTTTCCTAATTAGATTGTCAGGGGTTCATAGATTTTGCTCTCAGATGTTCTTGAGGTAATAATCCTGAGTACAAAGCCTTTTATGGTCAGCCAGTTATCATTCTGTAAAGTCGTACGTTACACTAGGTTTTGACTGCTCTACAGTATTGCTCGTGGAATGTTTCTTCCTAAATTCGACAGATCAAAGTCAGTCGAAAAATTCTAGGCTCGCGTTTAATCATTTTATGTAACAGTTTTTATATCTGAGAGATAAATAAACTAATGCCAATGCTACGAAGTGTAAGATAATGGTTTATCGTTTTTCTTGCGATGCAGTTACTAGAACTGTCTTCATAGATGAAGCGCTCTTGGCTGGTTACATCGAGTCGAAATCGGCTTCCTGCCGTTAGCTCTGTGGAAGAAGGAGACCAGGGTGAAGATGTAAGAAAAAGCAAAATCCTGGCAGTCAGAAACCGTCATTCTTGTCTCTAGCATTGATCTGTTTTCACACACGCCATTCGGAACTGGCGACATCACAAAATTGAAGTATCGGCTTAGGAATATGATGCGAGATATTTTTTGACAAGTTTTTTCCTCACCGTTGCCGCTTTTATTCACGATGCGGCTATAATTTGGCAAAAGGGTGATCTTTTGAAACTCAGTGTCATAATTTTTTTGAGTCTCGCACTCTAGGATATTTTTCGTTTGTTAACTTAAGTCCAAAAGCAAAGGACAGTTTGTAGCTGTTGGTATGTTGGTCACTTTAGAACTTTCATGATTCAGGGTCATTTACGGTTCTTCTTTCATGAAGCATATGTGGTGTGGCGCCAATATCTGTATCCTTTCAT